GGTTGTTTTATTGTACTTTTTATATTTTACATTTATATTTATTTTGCATTTTGCACCAAGGGAGTGGCACTCCAATTTCGTTGTACTTTGTACAATGACAATAAAGGCTATTCTATTCTATTCTATTCTATTCTATGTGAAACCCTGTGACTGCGGTAGAGGAACCACCAGATCAACATGCACATGATCAAAAACATTTGCCAGGGATGAGAAATGGTTCAAAGGGTGCCTTGGTGTGCCTGTGGACCTTTGCATGCTGGCACGAAAGCCCATTCACTAACAGACCTGCGAAGGCCTGGCCAAACAAACTTGAAGCTGACCAATTTAACAAAGGCCCGGGACCCCAGATGTGATAGAACGTGCACTGAGTCAAAAACGTGATGACGCCATGAAACGGGGACCACCAGGGTTAGGGGGTTATCTTGACAGAGGAGAAAACGAAAGGCAGCAAACATCCAAAGAAGAGCTTTGAATGTCCTTCAAGAAGCCTGGAGAACTATTACTAAAGACTACTAAAAAATTATAAATATTGACTTTCAACCTCATTGACCTCTCTAATCATACAAACTGTTCTTGTTTTGTCTTAGATTTTGTATTTCCATGTATGTTAGCAGCACATGTTTTAGTTTATCACTGCACATATTTTCCATCTTCATAATAAACCATGAAAATACACACACATACCTGATGACTTTCTGGGGCAGTATGAGCTCATCTATATCATGTAGAGCCACATATCTGGACTGGTACATGTATCTGTAAAGGCAGTCATTGAGAGCAGGAATCTGACCAAAGTAGTGAAGTTCACCGGGACCATGTTCAGGCAGCCAGCCACGAGACACGTTCACATATGTGGACAGAGACCAAGGAATCACCTCCACTAAACCTGAGAAAAAAACATCGGAAGCAGTTCAATGTCAGTAATTAAAACTAGACATTACAATTACTGCAACTCCAACCTCAAACTGAAATCATTGAACTGGTGAAATGCATTCTGGATCTTTATGGTGAAGCAGACACATGAAAACAAAACATTACCTGTTTTTTTTTTTTGTCTCAGTGAATAAGACTAGAGTAATAAACAACCTGGCGCAGCAGCAGTGACATGGCTAAGAAACAACCCAACGCAAAAACTTAATGATCTCATTAAAACAACCTAAGGTTTTGGCTGCACTAAAAACAGACAAAACAGACTCTCATCTGTTGCTCTCAAACACGATCCAAGAATGAATGCTAGTTTTCATAAAGGTTTCCAATATTAGAACTGGACTGTGTGACTAAGTGAAAGGCTCTGTTGTTAATTGAAAGGAAGGTTGTGTATAGGAAATGAATTACTGCTGTACCATGTGTGAAACAAAAAAAATACATAAATCCACAGAGAACTATCAGTTCTTTTAGGTACTTAGTTTTAGTCATTTTTAATGTTTCCATTAAACATTAGAGAAACCAATATTAAGTATAAATCCAGTTTGTGAGCATGGCCACGGAAGGATCCTGTGAGAGCTCATGCAGTCTTAATACTGAGACCACCAAACAGTTCCAGGTCTCTGTAATACACAGCAAGTCAAGATGACTCACTTGCATAAACAGTGAAAATCTGGAAACGTGGAAACATGAACATAAAGACG